AGTGGAAGCAAGTTTAACAATTGGAGTCGTTCCTTATAGGAGGAGGAGTAATTACCCAGTATGTATTTGGTGGCTCGCCGTTGGATTCTCTCTAATAGCATTATGTCTTACTTTAGATTAGGTCTCCACAGTTGGGAACAGTACGCTAGTTTGGACTGAACTAGAGAAATATACAGTCTTTTCTTTACAGTCCCGTCCACTGTTGAGAAGGATCTTTTAATCAGGTAGAGGGAAGCATATGCTTTTGAACTGATGTGTCTATAGTGGTCGCTCCAGGAGAGATCACTCCTTACCATAAGACCAAGATCTCTGTGGGATTCTAGGGTTGGTATAGTTGTACCATCAATCTCATATAGAGGGAGAGAGGTTACAGTGGAAAAAGAGAATAGAACAGCTGTCTTCAGACCAAGCTGCCAGGGAATTTGTCTTCCTGTAGGTGGTTAGAGGATGATGAAACCTGCTGCAGCTTGGAATCGTCAGCAAAGAGATACAGGTCTGAGTGGTTTATGACACTGGGAACATCATTAATAAACACAAGGAACAGAAGGGGCCCCAAGATACTCCCTTGAGGGGCTCCCGATCTTACTGGTAGAAGAGATGAGGAACAACCATCAATACATACATAGTGCTGACGATGGGCCAGGTAATCCCTAAACCAGCACCACAAAGGACCAGTGATACCCAGGCGCCAAATTTTGAATAGAAGAATGGAGTGTGGAACCAAATTGAAAGCTTTACGAATATCGAAATATACTTGGTCAACAGAGTTCCCCTTCTCATAGTGACTCATTATAATAGAGAAAAATGACAGGAGCTGAGATACTGCAAAACGATTACTGAGGAATCCAAATTGATTTCGACACAACAGGCCCCAGATAAAAGGAATAACTTTATTGTCGATGATAGATTCCAGGACCTTAGATAGTATGCATAATAATGAAATGGGTCTGTAGTTACTAACACAGTGTCTATCACCAGCCTTAAAGACTGGGGTTATCTTGTGGATTTTCCATTCATCTGGGACATGGCTGTACATGATGGACTCCTGAAAAAGACTGGTGACGGATTGTACAATGGAACCAGCACAAAGTTTGATAAAACAAGGGCTAAGTTGGTCACAACCAAAAGCCTTGCTTGGAGCCAGATACACATCCTCACAAGAGATGTTAATTGATGATAGCTGCTTAGAGGGGGTAGGAAGTTGGTCCATCGGAGGAAGAAGAAAATCAGTAGAAGCCTAAACACAGAATTAAAATACAAGTTAAATAGGTCAACTTTAGAGCAAGCATCAACAGACGTTATACCATTATAGACCAGTTGGCGCTAAGTATATTCATAGTATATTCATTGTGATACCGTAAATAAAGTAAAATTTTCCTGCTGCCATTTTGGAGAAATTGGAGTCTTAGTACCTAAGAGTAGAATGGGAGAAAGTAATATCTTTGCTTCTATATCTTCTAGTGGCACTTATTAAAGTCCATGAGCCAACTCTAGACACTGGATGATGGTCAGGAAGCAGTAGCAATATTGCTGTAATGAATAAATACAGCAGTTTTTGGAGAATAAGCTCTTTTCATGATCGCTCGATAGACAACCATTGGAAGTAGGACTCCAAAATGGCGGAAGGAAAATTTTACTTTATTTACGGTATCACAATGAATATACTTAAAATTCTATGAATATACTTAGCACCAACTGGTCTATAGGAAACAGACTCAGGTATGGGAGGAGAACTAGTAAACCTCCTCAGGTGACGATATAACATTACCGTTACTTACATTAGGCCACTCCAATTAAATTCATAGTTTCCCGTTGCCCGCCCGCATACTGCCGCGCACCAAATTCATTAAAATCGATTATTTTTCATTATTATGAATATTATCTCTACCTCGTGGCTAGTGGCTGATAAATGGCGGTTTCTATCTGGTTCCTCTGGCTATTAGGTTTTACAAGCGTATTTGCAAGAGATCAGGTGTGCCCAATGATTTCCTTTAGAATCCTCTTTATCTTTTCTTACTTTTAGTATTACGTCTGGACCTGGTACAATCCGTATAGTGGTCTGAATTCACCTACTCATTCTCCTACTCTTTCGTATTCGTATAATTCACCTACTCATTCTACTCTTTCATATTTGTATAATTCACCTACTCATTCTACTCTTTCGTATTCGTATAATTCACCTACTCATTCTACTCTTTCATATTTGTATAATTCACCTACTCATTCTACTCTTTCATATTTGTATAATTCACCTACTCATTCTACTCTTTCATATTTGTATAATTCACCTACTCGGCATTCTCCTACTCTTTCGTATTTGTATAATTCACCTACTCATTCTCCTACTCTTTTGTATAATTCACCTACTCATTTGCCTCCTCATTCGTATTCGTATAATTCACCTACTCATTCTCCTCCTCATTTGTATTTGTATAATTCACCTACTCATTTGTATTTGTATAATTCACCTACTCATTCTACTCTTTCATATTCATATAATTCACCTACTCATTCTCCTACTCTTTCGTATTCGTATAATTCACCTACTCATTCTCCTCCTCATTTGTATTTGTATAATTCACCTACTCATTCTCCTGCTCTTTCGTATTTGTATAATTCACCTATTCATTCGTATTTGTATAATTCACTTACTCATTCTCCTACTCATTCGTATTTGTATAATTCACCTACTCATTTGCCTACTCTTTTGTATTCGTATAATTCACATACTCATTCTCCTGCTCTTTCGTATTTGTATAATTCACCTACTCATTCGTATTTGTATAATTCACTTACTCATTCTCCTACTCATTCATATTTGTATAATTCACCTACTCATTTGCCTAGTCTTTTGTATTCATATAATTCATCTACTCATTACTATAACTCACCTGTTGGTTTGTATACTTCATCTGCTGATTTAACTTTAACTATTCCTTTGTTTGAGTCAGTTATGTCATCTGTACATTTAGTAAATGTTAATGTGAATCTTCTTCATCCCATCAAAACTCTCCTTCCTTGGACTATTTTACAAGTGGGAGAGATTAATTACTCAATTAAAGATTTTTTCTCAATACTGTCATAACGAGACTATCTGACGATTCATATTGCTTAGAAGGAGCTCAAATTGGGAGAGATAAGTCCATTTTAGATAATGTGGACATCAGTTTGCCAATTCTTCCAGTCATATCATCATTTGGGCTATATTAAG